GAGCGCTTTTTTATATAATTTATAAGTACCCAGTAATCTTTTAATTTAGGAAAATATTCTCCATAATATAATGTTTTATTAAATTTCAGAAATGATAACTTTAAATTTACAATAGTTATCACTCTTTTTTCTGATAATGCGGTATATAGTCGCCCGTACTTACAAAAAGGGGCACGTTTATACATAAAAAAATTCAAAATTCTTTTAAAAATAATGATTTGCATTAAGCTTTGCTATTTATAATTGGTTAATATAGCTTTCCCTTAATAACAATATTATCAAAATCCCTGAAATTAATGAAGAATTTTTAAAGATTTAAAACATTTCTAATTAAAATGAAAAAAAAATGAAAACAATTCTTGTAAAAATTCTTTATTCGTCGAAATTTTTTCTTAAGACAATACTGTCTTTAATATATCTTATTTATAAAAGTAATTTAAATCTTTTCTAATTGAAGAATGTCAGAGATTTTTGCATTTTTTATTTTGCGATTCAGAGCAGATTTTCGGTGAATGGTGTTTCTGTTTGGCAGAAACAAGTTGATGATTTAAATTCTCCAAGGAATCCTCCATTTAACTAATATAAATACGAAATTCCCGAAATTTTAATTTCTCGAAATTTCATGGAATTAAGTAAATACCGGCAACAGTTGTAAAAATAAAAGAATATTTTTTATCCAAATTTTCTAAAAAATTTTAAAAAAATATTGAAAATAATGAACTTGTTAACCTTTGCGCTACAGCAGGAATTTAAAAAAAAAAAAACATATGAGAAGGCGATGGATGAACAATAATGACGATGGCGTCGACGGCTACTGTTTTTTTTTTTTTAACCGGGACGGAAATCAGCCATTAAATACGAAATAAAGAAATTCCTTTAATTCTTAATGGAAGAAAAACAGGGGCGAAAGAAAAGATTTCTGATTGATTAAGAAAAAAACTGATTAATATAATCTTGCATCAAAAGAACGCAAAAACTTACGCACCTTGAAATCTCGTGTGTGTATGCGTTTGTGATAAAACGTATTTTTCACTTAACAGAGGCAAGTATCGAAATCTAATTATAATAATCTAATTCTTTCATCATATATATATATATATATATATATATATATATATATATATATATATATATATCGGGTGTAATAGCAAAATTGTCCAAATCATTTAACAGCATAACTGTCCACCCTACAAAATGTTTAATATCTAATAAAGCACAAAACTAATTGAATTTCTTTCTTCTACCTTTCAGATAAGATGCTTAGCCATCTTTGCACCATTTTTCGTAAGAATCACTGAGAAACCATTTGAGTTATTCAGCTAGAAAGAGAACAGGGTAAAATCGTATTGTGGCAGATGCACAGTCTTCTCAACTGAGCAATGGTGAGAGGAGAAAGATCATTCAGACTTTCAGTAATGGTAACAATATTCATATTCTGGTTTCAATCTTTAAAGTCCATTCAAGAACCATCAAGAAAATGGTGAAAAAAGTAAAGAGGGGACAGCAGAGAGGAGAACATGATCAGGACGTCACAACAGGAAGATTAGAGATCACGTTGCTGCTCCAGGATAGAAAGCTAGAAGGTTAAAGAGGACAAAGATCATCTTGAATAAGTTGGTAAAATGATCATGACATATATATATATATATATATATATATATATATGCGTGTGTGTGTGTGTGTGTGTGTGTTTGTGTGTGTGTGCGCGAAAATATATAAAAAATAGGAATGAACTCGTTAGGTAAATAATCCAAAGTTCTTTAGTATTTTTGTTATTATTTTAAAAAACAGTGCACGATAAAGTTTTGGGGTCTTGTTTTGAAACATGAGAACTCTTATGTAGCGATGAAATCATATTTTAAATAAATAATTATATATATATATATATATATATATATATATATATATATATATATATATATATATATATATATATATATATGAACTTTATTTCAATCCTTCATGAGGTTCTGATCCTTACGTATGATTAATTAATGATGAACATGTCATTTTCGTTTATGACCGATTCCATCACGATTCTTTTGTTAAGCTTGGAGAGTAATTATACATTCTTATTGCTCAAAGTAGAGTCCAACAGAGTTATAAAAACTCGGAGAATTCCAATAAGATATCTTTAATCATTTCTAAGATACAACGATTCAGAGCTTAATCTAACAATTGGACAACTTTGCTGTTACACGTTTTGGACACTTTTGCTGTTACACCCGGTATATATATATATGGGCGGGTAGCCGAGTGGTTAGAACGTTCGCTTTCTGGCCATGAGACCCGGGTTCGAATATCACGACTTGTCAGGAAGGAGACTTCCTGATCGAGGTCGTGTGGCACCTTTGGAAAGTGCCTGAAAATCATACCACGGGTTGACCCAAGGCTTGTCAGTGAAATTAGGTAGCCGGAACACTTGGGAGCCGTCGATAGTTGTGCTAGCACGGAGTCCCAAGGCATCGTGCCTGAGGCTTTGAGTGTGCCGACCTTGTTCAGAAACTGCAACTAAGGTCTGCTCAGCATAGTTGAGGTATAAACCACGTGGGCTCTGTGTGTTTTGAACAAACACAAATGTGCCTGAGCGAGCGACTGCAATAGGGATTGGCTAGTCACCCTAATAGAGAGTATCCTCGAATACGAGTCGCCAGCTATATATATATATATGAAGAAAATTTGGAAAAAACAAACAAAAAAAAAATTTTTGTTTTGTTTTTTTCCAAATTTTCTTCATTCTGTCGCATCTATATCCATTTACATTTGCTTACATATATATATATATATATATATATATATATATATATATATATAACACAAGTTAGACAAACTCCTCGTGTAGGTTACTCACTGCTTTCCTTTATCCCTCTTGCCTTCAATATGTCCCTGTGAGTGTTATATTTTCCAAGCTCTTCTACATTATGGGCCTTAGAAATTTCAACTGTTTCTTTCCTTAAAAATTCATTGTTGCTCATTCGTTCAATTCATGCTATCCTCAGCATCCTTCTGCAGCACCACATTTCTGTTGCTTCAAATCTCTTCTTCATCTGTGAGGAGATTGTCCCGCATTCACTGTCATATCGGAGAACTCATATTTCAGAAAAAGGTTAATTCTACGTTTATTCCAGAAATCATGATTTCTACGATTATTTCAGTAATCGTAAATTCTATATTCATTTTAGTAATCATGAATTATATATGTCAGTAACCGTGAATTCTATGTTTTTCTCAGAAATTGTTAATTCTACGTTTATTTTAGAAATCATGATTTCTACATTTATTTCAGTAATCGTGAATTCTGTGTTTATTTCAGTAATCGTGAATTCTACGTGTTTTTCAGAAATTGTTAATTTTACGTCTATTTTAGTAATTGTGAATTCTGCGTAGATTTCAGTAATTCTGAATTCTATATGTCAAGAGCCGTGACTTCTATGTGTTTTTCACAAAATTGTTAATTCTACGTTTAATACAGAAATCATGATTTCTACCTTTATTTCAGTAAGCGTGAATACTGTGTTTCTTTCAGCAACCATAAATTTTTTTTTTTTTTCGGAAATGTTTAATTCCACGTTTATTTCAGTAATCATCAATACTGTTTTTATTTCAGTAACCGTGAATTCTAAGTGTTTTTCAGAAATTGTGAATTCTACGTTTATTTCAGAAATTGTGATATCTACGTTTATTTTAGTAATCGTGAATTTTGTGTTTATTTCAGTAACCGTGAATTCTATGTACTTTTCAGAAATTGTCAATTGTATATTTATTTCAGTAATCGAGAATACTGTGTTTATTTCAGAAATCGTGTATTCTATGTTAGTAACCGTGAATTCTACGTGTTTTTCCGAAATTGTGACTTCTACGTTTATTTCAGAAATTATGATTTCTATGTTTATTTCAGTAATCGTGAATTCTGCGTTTCTTTCAGTAAACGTGAATTCTATAGGTCAGTAACACTGAATTCTACGTATCGTGAATTCTGTGTTTATTTCAATAATCGTGAATTTAGTATAACAGTAACCGTGTATTCTACTTGTTTTTCACAAAATTGTTAATTCTATGTTTATTTCAGAAATCATGATTTCCACGTTTTTTTTCAGTAACCGTGAATTCTATGTGTTTTTCAGAAATTGTTAATTCTACGTTTATTTCAGAAATCATGATTTCCATTTTTTTTTTCAGTAACCGTGAATTCTATGTTTTTCAAATATTGTTAATTCTACGGTTATTTCATAAACCGTGAATTCTACGTTCTCTATGATACTGCTAATATGTTGATATTGTTAATATTGCTACTGATTTTTCCTGTTTATTATAAGTATTACAATCGTTATCAATGCCACCATCTTTGTTGCTGATAGTCATCGTTTAGCTTTAATATCTTTTCCAATTCTCACTTTGTTATTATCATTGCTTCCCCACCCCACCAGCAAATATTTCCAAACTGTTTTTTAATCCTTCGACGTCATAAACATCACCATCATCATCATCATCATCATCATCATCATCATCATCATCCGAGTTTCTCGTTTGACATCAGAATAAATATTATTCATTCCTTTTTATTTTCTATTTACCAGCGCCTTCTCTCTTAGTCTTCTTCGACTTTCTCTTCATTCACCGGGGCTTCCTCCATCGCTTTATTTCACTCCTCTTTTTTCTCTCTCTCTCTCTCTCTCTCTCTCTCTCTCTCTCTCTCTCTTTTTTTCTCTCTCTCTCTTTCTCTCTCTTTCTCTCTTTCTCTCTCTCTCTCTCCTGGAACCCCTTACTCTCTATTGCCTTTTGTTTTTAACAAGACGGAGCTCTTTCTTCTCTTCTATCTTCTTTTGCCACTGAAGAAGAAGAGTCCTTCGCAGTTTCTATCTATTACTTTCTCCTGCTCTGTTTCTCTCTCCCTCTCGCTCTCTCTCACTACCCCCACGATCTTTCTCACCCTCTCTATTTAACTATTCTCTTATTACTTCCCTTGCTACGACGCGGCTTAGCAAGATACGCTTTTTCAAATGCCCTCCACTTACGCCACTAATTTTTTTCTTTCATATTTGTCCGCCTCTATTTTCTCACTTTGTTTTTTTTTTTCATCCTATATTTTCTTTCCTTCTTCGTTTTTTCTTCCACTTATCCGTTCCATTTTTTCATTTGCCTTTGTCTCCTTCATCATCATCCTCAACACCATCAACACCACAATCATCATCATCATCATCATCAAGACCATCATCAACACCACCATCAACACCATCATCATCAACACCATCATCAACACCATCATCAACACCATCATCACCATCAACACCATCATCACCACCACCATCATCATCATCATCATCAAGACCATCATCAACACCACCATCAACACCATCATCATCAACACCATCATCAACACCATCATCATCATGTACACCATCAACACCATCATCACCACCACCACCATCATCATCAAGACCATCATCAACACCACCATCATGATCATCATCAACACCATCATGATCAACATCAACACCATCATCATCATCATCATCATCAATACCATCATCATCATCATCATCCTCACTAATATTATTCTTCCATTTATCCGCTTTTTTCTTCTTTCTGTATTTTCTTTCTTTCGTTGTCATCATCTTTCACCCATGAAATCTCCATTCATTTTAGTTCATATACCCTCTCTTAATCCTCTTCCTTTTTTTACTTCTTCTTCTTCTTCTTCTTCTTCTTCTTCTTCTTCTTCTTCTTCTTCTTCTTCTTCTTCCATTTCCTCTTTCTTCATTTTTCTTCGTCACTCGTCTTCGTCTTTTCCCTTCATGTCTCCCTTCTTTTAGTTCATATGCCGTCTCCTCCTCCCTCTTCTTCTTCTGCTTCTTTTTATTTCTTTCTTTCCTCGTCTTCGTCTTTTCTCTTTTCGTCTCAATTCTTTTAGTTCATATATCCTCTTTTTCTCCTATTCCTGCTCGTATTCCTCCTCGTTTTTTCTTCTTCTTCTTCTTCCTTTTCTTCTTTCTCCTTTTTCCTTCCTTCCTCATCTTCGTCTTTTCCTTTCACGTCTCTATTCTTTAAGTTCTTATACTTCCTCCTCTTCCTCTTCCTACTCGTCTTTCTCCTCCTTTTCTTCTTCTTCTTCTTCTCCTTCCTTCCTTCCTTCCTTCCTTCCTTCCTTCCTTCCTTCCTTCCTTCTCTTCGTCTTTTCCCCTCACGTCTTTATTCTTTTAGTTCTTATACCTTCTCCTCCTCCCCTTCCTACTCGTCTTCCTCCTTTTCTTCTTCTTCTTCTTCTTCCTTCCTTCCTTCCTCATCTTCGTCTTTTCCCTTCACGTCTCCCTTCTTTTAGTTCATATACCGTTTCCTCCTCCTTCCCCTTCTTCTTCAATTTCTTCTTTCTCCTTTTCCTTTCTTTCCTCGTCTTCGTCTTTTTCTTTCACGTCTCTATTCTTTTAGTTCATATACACTCTCCTCCATCTCTTCCTCCTCCTACTACTATACTCTTCCTACTCCTTCTTCTTTCGTCTTATTTTTCTTCTCCTCTTCCCATTTCCTCTTTCTCCTTTTTCCTTCTATTCTCATTTTCTATCTTTACTTTGTCTTTTCCCTTGTATTCTCCTTTCTTTTTCCTTCGTTCAACTTTTTTGATTTTCGTTTCCCATTTTTCCTTCTTTTATCTCCTTTCCATATTTTCTCTCTTCATTTGTTTTCTTCGTCTACTTTTTCACTTCCTTTCTTCCTGTTTTTTTACTTCATTCAACTCTTTTCCTCCGGCTGACCTCTTCCTCTTTTTCGCCTCCTTCTTCTTTCCCATCTTATCTGCAGCTCTGTTTTCCCTCTCCCTTTCTTTAATTATTCTCTCATTTTTCTTTTCTTACTTTCTTCTTCCATTTTTCTTTCTATAATTAAAAAAAAACTCCTTCCCTTCCTTTCCTTTTTCTCTTTGCTTTCTTTTTTCTTCAATTACCTTCCGTCTTCTGTCAGCGTTCTTCTTCTTCTTTCTTTTCTTCTTCTTCTTTCTTTCTTTCTTTCTTTCTTCTTTTTGATCGCTGACTTCTTCAATTTCTTCTCAATGCGCCTTTACTTATCCATCACTTCTTCTTCATTCTCTTCGTCTTTTTCTTCCGTTTTCTACCATTCCTTCTTCTTTTGATTCTTCTTCCTTTTCTTTTTCTTCTTCTTTTTCATTCTTTTTTCCCTTTCTTGCCATTTCTCCTTCCTTTGCTTCTTCCTTTTCTTCTTTTTTACATATCTTCTTTCTTTTTTGTTCTTTGATTGTTGACTTTTCCTTCAAATTCTTCCCAATGCAACATCATTTATCCATCTCTTCTTCTTTTCCCTTTTTCTACCATTTCTTCTTCCTTTTTTTCATCTTTCTTTTCTTCTTTTGTACATTTCTTCTTCTTTCTTTTTCGTTTTTGATTGTAGACTTCTTCTTCAACTTCTTCCCAATCTGACTTCAGCAGTAGCTCTGTTTTTCGCTAAGCAAATTTGATAGCCACAGTAGCAGTAGCAACCGCACCTGTCTTAAAATAATAATGAATACTTGACTTAGCTTTGACAAGATCGATTTAGCCGTGGTAATCTAATGAACGTGTATTACAGATTTCAAAACTGTTACGATTTCTACAGGTGTGCACACTTCGTTTTAGTAAGTCTTTAATAAAATTACCTGCGAAAAAGAAAAGACACAGTGAAGAATAAAAATACATAAGCAAACCTGTATTAGTGACGCTGTTGAAAACTAAATTATAGGTTTGGCTCAATGATGCCACAACGGACTAAAGGCTAGTGTTTCTGACGACATTAGTCAGCTGATGAATCAATAGAGACATTTCTTTTATCTATAGATTTTGGACTTCGTTCTATTTTGCAATAAATCTGCAATATTTTTTAATGCTTCAATGCAATATATATATATATATATATATATATATATATATATATATATATATATATATATATATATATACAGTGTAAACCGGATATAAGAGAGTTGTCAGGACCGGAGAAGAAGTCTCTTATATCGGGGTTTCTCTTATATCCGGGTTTGGTCTATTTTGTTTAGGTAAGTATGGGAAAACTTTGGGACCAGAGAGAATCTCTCTTATATCCGGGTTTCTCTTATATCCGGGCCTCTTATATCCGGGTTACACTGTATATAAAAGTGAACATAGAAGTCAACACTTAGAGGCGACAGTCTGTTTCATGTTAGATGCAATCGTCAGGCCTTCTATGTTCACTTTTATATTTACACACGCTCTATCTCTGATATTGAGCACTTTATCCCATAAATGTAGCACATCTTAAGACTATATTTCTTCATATATATATATATATATAATTTTTTTATGGTACAAAATTTAACGATAGCTAGTAATAAGCAAAATTTATATGCCATTTTAAAAAGCTAAAAAAGAACAACCAATTTCGTCCCAGCCTTATCAAGTTTATTTTCTGGAATATAAAAATATATATAAGCGTGTAAATTAAATTAATATAACGAATGGAAGAAAAAAAATGAATTTCAAGAAAACTAGAGTCTAATAACATTCAGGCCCAGTAAACATTCCCTCTGTTTACAAAGGGAAGGCCCACGGGATCTGATATACAAGGACTCTAGAACCTGGGTGTCGAACGGTCTCGAAAGGCAACTCTTAGTTTAAAACCCGCGGAGGTTCTGTTTGAGGGCTTTGTAGCATACTGTATACCAGTTCTCTGTATTCAGCTCTTCCAAAAAGTGTAGATGGTTCGACAGAAGGCTTCACCTTTTTAATTAAAGATATATGCGGGTAGTTTGGCTGTTGCTTCTAAGAACTGAGCTTCTTGACCCTAATGGGTAGAAAAGGACGGGAGAGTCCAGTATATATATATATATATATATATATATATATATATATATATATATATATATAATAAAAAAGGCTTAAACACTAATATTCCATGGTCATAATTTATTCCATTGGAATCGTAAATACGATCAATTCATCAGACCTACAAATTCAAAATGAAAACAGAAAAAACCACCCCGGAAGTGGAAAGAGAATTTAGAGAAAGTGTAAATATGAGGAGGAGGGAGATTGAAAATTAACAGAGAGAATTTATTTTAGGAGATGTGGGGGAAAGGGTTTTAATTAAGAGAAGAGAATGAATGTTGACGGATGTCTAATGCATAAAGATACATTTCGTGGTGACATATATACACCCTAGACAATTTGAAGCTAGAATAAGAGGGAGGGGGGAGGGAAAAGGAAGGTGGGGGGGAGAGATGGGACGAAGGAAAAGTAAAATTGCGTTTAAAAGGTCCGCTTTGTAATTGAGAAAATTTGACAAAATTAATATCGACTACAGGTTACAAATCAAATATAAATATATGAAGATAAATATAACGATTGTCTAATCCAGCAAGGACCTATATTTCTATGTTCAAAGACACATGTGAATACACATAATAACAAATACATGTATACACATACACATAGGCGTGTACCCATACACATACATACGTGTACACACATGTATAAAAATATAAAAAAATAAAAAATATATATATATATATGTGTGTGTGTGTGTGTGTGTGTGTGTGTATGTGTTTTGTGCGGATAAAGTTTAAGGATATCTAGGAATAAGCATGATTTATATGGCATCTTAATGTATATTTAAAAAACAAACAAACAAACAAACAAAAAAAAAAACAACCAGTTTTGTCCCAGGCTTATCAAATTTATTTCTGGGATATAACCTTAAGTGTAAACTTAATTGATATTAATGATAACCAATGGAGGGAAAAATATGAATTTCAAGAAAACTAGAGTCCAATATCATTCAGACCCAGTCAGCATTCTTTCTGTTTACAAAAGGAAGGCCAACGGGATCTGATATACAAGGACACTAGAACCTTCAGGTGAAATGTGGAATGGGACCTGGATAAAATCGAAAAATGGTCCGCACTAAAATCAAACACACAATTCCTGCTATTTATTACATGCTCAGAAATAGCGGGGCCAGAAGTATTGGTTACTTGGCTTTTCCTGGCATCCGGATTCAAAATCCTGCGGGATGGGGGTAAGTGTTGCTTTATTCTAAGATCCAAAAGTTTGGATGCCCTCCCGATGTAGTCGATTCCACAACTACACTTATATTTATAAATCACTGAATTAACATGATGGGTGGTTTAGGACATCCTTACGAATAGAAGAGAAAATAGGACGGGTAACAAAATTACCCGAACATTAGCCGAAAAATAACAGTTATTAATCGCACGCGAAATACATCTAGATAAAGTCACCCTCACCCCTCTCTCTCTCTCTCTCTCTCTCTCTCTCTCTCTCTATATATATATATATATATATATATATATATATATATATATATATATATATATATATTATATATAGGTATGCTATATTTATTTTAAGGATAGTACGGTGGAGTAATGGAAGCGGATTGAGAAATCGGAGAGACGAGTTCGAATCCCAGTCGAATCCATTACATTTACTTACGTGCTAATATCCTTGGGAAAGGGATGAATCCTCTTCTTCTCCACCCCGCCAGCTATTTCCCCATAGATGGGGTGGGAGGAGAAGAAGAGAACTCTAGACCCCTGGATGGCAACTGGCCTACCGCAGAAAGAAATGGCAACCTACTGCGGGAAAAAAAAATCTGCCTCGTTATTCATGGATCGAAAGATACATAATGGCACATAACTGAACTAATATTTATGGTTAAAAGTGCTAGATTTGATATATATATATATATATATATATATATATATATATATATATATATATATATATCAAGTATATAATTGGTATATACGGAATGAATTCAATAACCAACAATTACTATTCTTAAAAGAGTGCTCAATACAAAGTATAGCAGATATAATTATTTTTATAAAAAAATTATAACATAACTATGTTATAAAATCACTACAAAAGACACAGAGTGTGTTGAAACAAAATGGCTATTTTTGTAGTGATTTTATAACATACTTATGTTATAATTTTTTTTATAAAAAATAATTATATATATATATATATATATATATATATATATATATAATAAATTTTATCATATAGGCAAAACCATTTTAATCACTACAAAGATGCAACTTCGTTTCAGTGCATTTCAACTGCACTTCGACGGGTGAGAATGGAAAATGATTATGAATAATCCTGCTTGTAGGCTAGCCGTATGAGATACGTCACTTCTTTTTTCCATTTGTTTGAGAAGAAAAATATACATAAAAAATATGGAAAAACTAATGGAAAAATGAAGTGATAAATAAATAATTATCGCTCAACTATCGGTATCGAACCCTCTTTTGGATTAATGTTGTGAACGTTAGAATTTATATATTACTTTCGTTCTCATCAAATCGGATACACACACATATATATATATATATATATATATATATATATATATATATATATATATATATATATATATATAAAAAGCAGGGTTCAGTACTAGATATCGGATTGAAGAAACGGAGAACCAAGTTCGAATTCTAATCGAATCCATTACAGTCACTTACGCGCTTCTACCCCCACCCCCAGCAATGGTTAATTAGTAGGACAGACTGGGTTCTATAGCCTTGGATGGCAACTGGTCTAGGAGAAGTACAACTCTGAATTCAAAACCTGCGGAGAGTCGTTTTGATAGTGCACCCGGTCTCTGTATTCGGCCCTTCAAAAAGTGTGGTTGGTTCTGCACAAAGACTTCATCACTATAATCAAATCATATGTCTGTCGGTTCCTAGGATCTTTGCTTGACCCTTACATGTCGATAAGCCACTTGAGAGTCCAGCAGCATATACATATATAAAATCTTAATTAAATAATTATGATAAAATAAGAAAAATGAGTTAAATTAGGAGAAATAAAATTATATGAAAATTGAACAAATTTAACTTCAGTATCTGTCTCTATTTCTGAGATGAGGTATTATGTACACTATTTACATTATTCGGACTATTGTCCTCATATGTGTCGCCATATTTATTACAACGTTTCGGCCTTTCAGTATCTGTCTATATTTCTGAGATGAGGTATTATGTCCACTATTTACATTATTCGGACTATTGTCCTCATCTTTGTCGCCATATTTATTACAACGTTTCGGCCTTTCAGTATCTGTCTACATTTC